TCTCTACTCCATTACAAGCTTAAGCTTAAAGGAGTAGATTTATTTGTTTATTTATATTTTATATGATGTATTGTATAACTAAAGAATAAAATGTCTTATCTAAAAAAAAAAATAATTAAAAAAAAATGTTTTTCGAAATCAATGTAACAGCTGATAACACTAATAGGTAGCTAAAAGCTACTATAAAATAGGTTTTATTCATCGATGATTGATAATAAACAACTACCGGTTTAAAAACATGGAGAAATATATGCACATTATGTGATGTAGTAACTAATTTTGATTGGGTACGCATGGCTTAAGATAGAGACATTTATTAATCAAGAGGTATTTTACAGAGAAAGAGACTTTTGGGTGTCCGATATTGAAGTGGGAACATAAAATTCAAAAAGACTTTGGAAAACTAAGACCCGGAGAACGACTGCCATGGGTTATGGGTTTTATAAGATATAGTTTATGCTTGGGACGGTCTTAATAATTACGGTCCTATACCGCGAAAAAGAAGATAAGTACATATTTTATCTAATAGAATTGTTTAGGCATTTTTTTTGTCCCTTTAAAATTCAATTTTAGTGACAGGAATTTCGAAAAAAATAAAAAAATTAGGACTTGGTAAATATACAGAGGTAGGCGCGTTACTATGCTAAACGTTTTCATTTTATACATTTCGATTATTGTTCGACACAGCCTTCGGCGAGTATAGTTCGAAATCGAATTCCAGTCGTATATAGGTACCTATATCATAATACTATGTGTTATACTGTGTGGTATTTTTCGAAAACCGAGAGAAACGCGTTCGATCAAAATTTCAAAGTTATTATAGGTGGAAAATTGAAAAATTATTATTATACGTATGGGTCTATATAGACACGTGGAATATGTGGCGATAGTATGATATAATAATATTGTATAGTGACGCTGACGCATTCGGTCCCTCGGACGCCACGGAGAACGCCGAAACGGCGGTAGTCTCCGCACCTCGCACCTACACACGTCTGGCAATCACTGCAGCGTCGGATTCGGTTACCTACCATTTTAAATTCCTGAAGTCTATATATGCCCGGCACACGGTATACATCTTCACGCATGTTTTATCATTATTATACACACTATACCTGGCAGCCCTGCACCGTATAATTATGCCGACGAACGGTATATTATTATTATTACTTTTTTATTTCTACGATTTTTTTTTTCTTCTTTTTTTAAATGAGTTTTGAAGGACGCAGTAACGCCCAGATCGGACGGTAGCATCGTCGGACAACAGCAGTATAATAACGAACCGCGTCGAATAACATTATAACTTTTAACGATGTTCCGTGTTCATCCGTAGAAAATATCCGAGATACGTATATGATGTATAGGTATAAATTTAGAAAATCGAGAACGTATTATACAAAAAAAAAACCTTTGCTGCCCCTTCGACGATAATAAAATAAAAATAAATAGGTAGTCGGTCACAAATTAAAAATCTATTTAAAAAAACGAATGCCTATACGGATAGGTAGGTATACCTCAAACGTGACAAATCCGTCATCGCTATACGAGTACGTATATGATATAAAAAGTATTATGTGTGAAGACATTTCCTCCGTTTACGATTTGAAGCATTTTTATAGGGAATCTGGAAAACATAGTATCCGATTTAGTTTGCGGGGAAGGTTTATCCCCCATAAGATCATCTGAAACCCCTTCCACGCAAGGGTAGGATCCCGTCAATAACATTAATTTAATATTATAATGAGGCTTAAACCCCCTACCCCTCCCTAATGAACTAAATTACCCTATATATCCTATATAGCCCGTGTTTTTTTTTTTTGACAAACAATATTTTGAAATTAGTACATCACTATTAGTACTATAATATTATAATTTTATTATTGTATCTTTACCACTTGCGGGTGTTAAATTATTAAATAATAAAAAAAATAAATATAAACTCAAATAACCACGGTTATTTTTTTTATTTTGAAACATTGCGTAAATGAATAAAACTTGAAAAAAAAAATAAAGAACGAATAATACCCGAGTTTTGACATTATTATTTTTAAACCGCCCTTTTTTTGATGTTTGATATGATCGAAAATGTCACGAATATTTCAATTGCCGTTTGAAATGAACTAATTTTTTTTTTTTAGTTCTTTAAAACGGGTTTTTTTTATATGTATTGTCATAACAACGGCTCAGAAAAAAACGATTCTTGTCTGTGTGTACTACCACGATAAGAACGCATTGTGTTTACGCAGTCGTCTATGTTTACTTTTTTACGTCGCATGTTATTGTATGTGTATGTGTGTGTGTGTTTGTGTTCCCTCCAGTAATAATATACGATCTTTTTAAAAGTGCGACGAGACTGATTTAAAACGAACCGATGGATCAAAATAATGAGTCATATCTCATATATATCTACGTGTATTATTACACCAGTATTTTACGGAACGCCCCAATTTTATTGTTGGAGTCTACTCAACAGGCGTGGATATCCTATTTATTATTATGCGTATGGCGTAAATAGAATTTTTATCATCAACAATCGTATTCAATGTGTTGAATGTTGATGTAAGAGATTGACGGTGATAAGAAACTCGCGGTATTGTGTTTTCTAATTATTTATAAAATAGGTATCTACCTACCTTGTTCCTATACATTTTATTTGAATATATATTCCATCGTATTAAGATTTCTGCGCTTGTTTTCTGAATAATTATTCGAAAATCCATTGTTAATAATGAATGCTGTATAATATAATTAACAAATTATGTGCATTTTCGTGTACCTACTATTTTTTATTTCTCGAATTAATGACTATCGAATAAAAAAACATTATATTATTATATTATAAGTTTGATCTATTATGAAAACATTACTTTAAATTATTTGTTGTCTCAATCTAACACACACATGATGTAGCAAATTTGCTTTGGCAGTACCAATTGTATACTGTTAATTTTTATTACATAAGAGTGCATTGAGTATTGACCAATCAACAAGCTAAAAAAGTAAGAACATAAACTGTACGTTGATTATTTTTGTTTCGATGTTTAAATTTTTAAGTGAGATATAGGTAAGTCTTTTTAAATTGTGATGTTTTTCATTATCATAATGTCTTTTTGTCATCAAAAAATCAAATTATCGAAAAAACCAACGTTAACTGCAGAACTAATGGTTTTAGTTTACTCTAAAACTAATAAAAATAGTTGTATTGATTGCAAATTTGTTATGTTGTAAGACGCATACAGTATATGTCGTTCTCTTAATATTTATCATTATCAACAGTTTAACGGTCCTTGCATTGCCACTAATAGGCTCTTCCACTTTTTTCTATCCATAGCCCAATTTATCATTACAACTATATCATCATTCTCACATCCCTTTCCACACTTTCCTTGTCTATTTTTGCTATCAGAACTTACTTTAATACACCCCAATTTACTCTCCATATATGTCCCAACTAGTCCAGTTTTTACATTTCGTAAATGTTAGTATATTGAGTTTCCTATATACAACTCATTGTTTTGTCATTTTCCATAAATTCCTGAGTCACTTATTATACACCGGTTCATAAATATTTCTTAGGATTTTTCTCTTCCATGTAATGAGTCTTCTATTATCCTCTTTTGTCCCACAAGCATAAAGTACTATGGATTTAAGGTAGCTTGTGTATTGAGTGAATTTTGATTTTAATAACTTATTTAATTAATAATGCTTATGCTGAAGTAACATTTATTTCCATTTGATTTCCTTTCATTTATTTATTTATGCATATTTTTATTGCTACCTATTTATATTAATATCCAAGTATTTAAAATTATCTACCTTTTCAAAAATCATATTTCTCACTTTTAAGTTGGTATTTTTTTAAATGGGGTCATAAATTTGGTGTTTTCTTCATTGGATATTAATCCCCATGTTTTTACTGGCTTACTATCTTCCTATGATATCTTTCACGTACCGTGTTATTCTTTTCAAAAGGAACATTGACAGTATCTTATAACAAGTATCCAATATTATGTAATGATACATTTAAGTGATATTGTAAAATGTTAACCATAATGCTAACCAAAAATATTTTCAAGTGTCTCAATTCCCAGATATCATCTCTACAGATAATTTACTAACATATTTGTTTGTTTCCATTTTCCCTGAAAAATTTGTTTTATCATATTTTGATGGGGTCAATGGAAACTGACATTTTTTTTGAAAAAATATTAAGTATATTGAAGTTTTAATTGCGAAATTGTCATTACTGAAAGTGTTCTAGTTAGATAATAATGCAGAAATTGTTAAAAATTTTTATAACAACTAATAATTATTGTATAAAATAAATGGAATTTGAAAATATTTTTCCAACTACCTAAATCGACCCTATTATAACGAAATATGAATAATTTTTATAAGCGAAGAGTGGATAATTCGGTATTGATATCGAATTCATTCGAATAAAAAAAAAAAATTACATTTGTATTCTCAATTATATTAACAGCCGCGTCGCGTCATTATTATTTTGTTTTGTACAGCTTTTTGTTGGTAATAATAATATAATATTATTAGTATTTGATTAAAACTCCATCAAAATGATCGTCGAATCCGTATTTTATAATTACCTACATGTACCTAATGTTTTATTCGAATGGCAGTTATAACATCATGGAGTTTGACAAAATGCTCTCGACAATGGTGACGGCGCATTTATTTCGAACACGTATAAGCGTGTATAAAGTGTTAATACTGCCGAGTAAAGTCCGCGTGTGCTGCTGCACACTGTATACGTAATATAGGTTCTCAATAATTCCGTGGATTGACAGAGAAAATCCTTCCATTACCATTTCCCAATGTTAAAATAAACATGAACCCACCCGGACGATATTATTGCAAAGTATACTGTATACACACACATACTGCTGTTGCAGTCTTGCAGAGAGGGTATTTCCGCGCGATACGCGGAGAGCTCGGCACTGCTGCAGCACGCGCAACGTCCCGGGGGCAATAAAAGGTCGACGATGTTTTTATTGCCATCGGAACTCAAAAGTCTACCCGCGGTTGCGTCTAGAAAGTACTTAAAAAAAGATGATATATAAAGTAGGAGGCGCTGTTGCCGCGAGATCTCTCGACACCGTTCAAATATACGGACTTTTTTTTTTTAACGTTTGGAAATGAAAAAAAAAACGCCATATTTCATTTCGCTTTGCGACAAGGGTGACTCAGCCACAATTAACTCGGGCTGCTGCTGCTACCACCGCCGCCACCGCCGCTGCTGCTGCTGTTGCCGCCTCACTCGGCTCCCTCTTGTGCCACGCCACAGGACAACCGGTCATAAATAAACAAAGGATTTATCCGAAGGGAAAACGTTGTAAAATCATATATAATCCCCGTATATTCGGCACGAAGATCCCTTTGAAAGTGTATACGTGTATGTTGTGGGCGGGTGACAGCGGCGGCGTGCCGACAGATATGGAAAAACACAGTTCACCGATTTGGGGTGTCGATTTTCCGAAAGGCTTAACCGATTGCATTTCCATTTTTCATTCCGTTTCGCGTGTGCAGGCTGCAGACCTCAGCAACAGCACTGCAACAGCATATTAGATACCATCCGAATTCATCTATCTGTGAACTATTATTATACCGTTCGATCGTACTTATATATATATATATATGTTATATTATTATACATTGGAATTTATCAGAAACGGAAATTACGCTAACAGTTCTTATGCCTACGTGTTCGCGTTCTGATGAGTGATGGAATACATTATTATTTTAGTTTGGCGATGATATGCTACAAATAGTGTTGATGTGCATTTCTAGTATGATGCACACAACATTTATGTGAGCTTTTTTTGTTCTATTTTATGTGGTTTTCTTTCCGTTATGGGGATAATTTTTTAAGTGCATCGTTATATGGTCAAAAGGCTTTGTTTGGTATAATATTTAACTTTTTTTTTGTGGGTAGGGGAGAGGAAATTTAATCCGGAACTATTGTGCACTATTGCAAAGATAACAGTTTTGAAAGTTATCTTAAAATGTGTACTTTGGCGTACCTAGGTATTCCTAAAAAAATAAAACCTAATTTCAATCCAAATCTGTCAGTTTGAAATACGAGTATTTCGTATATCATCGTTTGAGCGAAAAATACTGAATAATAAAGATGCTACGATCATTAAAAATATGGAAGAATTGAAGAAATATTATTAAATATTGTTCTAGCATAATTCGCGCCGTACGGTATTTAGTGAAACAAAATAATTGAACCTATTTCGCGAAATATAATGATGGGTATTATACGGCATCAGTCGAAGTAATTAATGATTATATTACGTTTATAATAACTCAATTGAAACAGAATTGTTTAAATCAAATAAATTGTATAATGTAAACAAATTTGTTCTGCAGGAACCCGTCGCCGTCGTCTAGGTACCTACTTGTACAATTTCAATTATAACTGATGTCTATTCTGTGGGATTTCTTGATTTTTTTTATACAATTATAAGAGTGCTAACTTTATATTATATTAATTTAACTATACAATACGCGAGCGCAAGCAAAATAGTTCGTAGCAGTTTTTTGTAATATGCTTTCCAATCGTTTTCCAGATTATACGCACGTAATACTTTTGTACACATAAATTGCTGATTTAACGAGCACCGCACGCAATATTGTTTCCTACTCTACCTGCGTGCACACACACACACATTCACATTAGACGTAAGTACGCAGATCAATAGCTACGGAAACAATATACGAGTACATTACCATATATATTTGTATACGTATATAATATATATATAATATATTATATGTATATTATTGTGTGTATGTAGAGAAGAGCAGTCGTGTTTTAATTTAGAAACGGGCGAAAGAGGGATTCGCAGATATAATATTAGACGTATATACTCGTCGAACGCGCGAGAGGCATACCTCTCTACCTATACTGAAATATTCATTATGTACATAAAATGTCGAACTGAAAACTATTTTCCAAAGTTTATATTCGTGCTCCTGAGTTTATAGAAATTTTATGCCGATGTGTCTCGCAGAAATCGTCAACAACGAGGTTGTCTTTGATCTGTTTTTTACCTATCAATAATGGTCTATTGCATAGATTCTTAACCTTTTCTGAGCCTTTTACGGACCCCTTTGAAGTATAAAATATAATCATGGACCCCTACCTAAAAAAAAAAAATATAAATAAATATAATTTTTATTTTAATTATTTTTTAATAATAAATCTAAGACGTAATACCACTAATACTATACTAAATTATTATGAATAATCACTTTTTCTTAAAGTCAAAAACAAGTTTTAATGTGATATTTGCTGTTGTTTTGAATGCAATATTAACTTGAAATCTGGGACCGTATTGGACAGAGCAACGCTCATATCGTGCTTAATGTCTAAACGATTTCTTTTACTAGTTTTAATTGTGACCATTGTAGAAAATCCAGACTCACAGAGATAGGTAGTAGCAAAAATGTCATTGCTCTGGATACAGCTCGCGGATAAGCCTTCGTCCAAAAACACAAAAATTCGATTAGATTTTTTATTTGAAAATCGTGTCGTGCCATTTTTTTTAATGTTAAATCAATTAATTCGTCTTTAACGAGGTCTTAATCGTTAATTTTATTTAAGTCCACGAGAAAAGAATTGCGTACCCATATTTTTGATTTCAATAATGTAGAATCGAAATAATTGGGAAAAATAATATTGAGAAAAAGAACTTTTGGGAAAAACATATTGGAAAAAGAATCCCCCTATAATTAACGGAAAAAATGAAATCGAAAAAAAAATAGCATTAAGAATTCTTTCATGAAATCGAATTACCAAAACAATTATGGAGTCATGGTCTCTGCCGAAGAAACCTATAAGAAATTATTAAATATCACGCTATAAGTCCTGTAAAAACATATGGGAATATGGTCATTAGAGAAAGAAGAAGAAAAACGAATTATTGTCCTACAAATAATATATGTATGTAGACCAGTAAAAGAGCAGGAGATTGGGGTGAATAGAGAATAAAGAAAAACAATGAGCTAGAGAAACTTGTCTAGAAATAGAAAATACAATCTTGATACAATTAAGAGTTGATGACTAAAATGGGCTGCACATGTATAATGAAATTAAAATCCACTTTTGTATATAGTTATGGAAGAGAATTCGGAAGGAAAGAACTTCTTGGAAGATCGATCTTATTTAAGATGAGAAGTGTGGTCAAGAGAGACACGGGATCTCTAAATAGAGAATTGGACTGGAGTAGCTGACAGGGAAGGTGGTTATGTGACAGGATTGTTCTAGTGGGAGATAATAATACGAAATGATTTCGTTTTTTGTTTAGATTCTCTGCAAAAATAGGTAAATGTATGGGTTTTAAAAACCTATAATCACTGAATAATATTCGGATATCGAATAAAAATACTCATAAAGTTTTATAGATCCAAAATTTCTATTTCGTGCTGGTACCTACTTTGTTAGAAATATTTTTCGAGTTACTCGACTGTTTTTAGAAAAAATCAAACTACATAATAGCATATTGACTAATACAATATATGACAAGCAGAAATCTGTAGAAAGTCCGAAGAATAAGATTAGAATTAGAATTTTATTTTTAAACTACCTATCGTATTTAATGTTTATACTAAATTATAATCATATAATTAAAATATAAAATAATATATCCAATATCTTTCCGACTTCTTACTTACAGTAATATTACACACCGTTCATATTTAAGTAATTTGTTATTAAGCATTATTGTGTTATAGTTCCCGTGAATTCAAGTATGATAAAAAAAGAGCAAATCTATTGGCCGCTTGCATTATTAAACGACATTGAAAAGGAATATAACATTATATAAATATCTTGATCACAGCGATTAATTCCATTTTCTTGGAAAACGTAATTTTCTGTTATTTAAATCGTCATCATTCAACTTTATGTATTCATAAATACTGGGAAACGCAATGTTAATAACGAACAGTATTAATATTAAAATTGGTTTTTTCTCGGTATCGTATCAAAAAGTTATACTTACATACTGATATGATTTATTGTGGGATATAAAAAAAGAACACCGTTGGACAAATAGTGAAAAAAAGGTTGATTTCGTGTATTTGAACAAAAAATAACGTATTCTTTGATAACGGTATGCGTGATTCTGAATCCTTCTCTTCAAAAATATTTAAAAATATTTATTTACGTTTTATTTTACAAAGCATCACTCGAAATTATTATAATTTTATTCAAATAATTAAACAAACTATGGAACACCCAACAAATAAAATGTATTAAAAAGTATTACTGTCTCTGTGAAACCCGCATATAGAAAATTAATTGAAAACGAAATATTATACCTTCTAGTTTTTTTAAATCTAACTATCTTCTCGTGCGTAGATTCTATGCACCGTAGAATTTCATAGTGCCTTTTCTATAGGAAGCATAAAAGGCGACATAGCCATTAGGTTACTGATATAGATTTTAGATAAAATACAAATATTCTCTCAACAATCAGAAATAGGAACAGATAATTTAAAATTCTTCCTTGTTAGCTAATATAAATACACGATATTATGATTTTCCCTGGAAAATATACTTTTTCGCTTCTTTATATAGTTTCGATTAATCATATAAAGAGAGTCCACACTAATTTTGACACACCTTTTCAATCCTTAATAAAGAGATGGAATTTCTAAAATTGACCAATAATTTATTTAACTATTCACCTACCTATTTGATACATTTCTAGTCAAAGTTGGGGGTTATTTAGTTATTTTTTTCATACTAATATTGTTACCCTTTTTCAACCACTTGGGGAATGAATTTTGAAAAATCGTTTGATTTATCGGGTGTTTGCGTTACAAGGGAAACTCTGTGCAAAATTTCAAGGTACCAAAGAGATTTGGGTTGTACATTGCTATATCAGCCAGTCAGTTTCTTATTTTATACAATTTGTAGATAAGATTAGAAAGAAAAATTTAATACAATTAAGATTTTTTTTACCGTGCAAATTAAAACTCGTATAATAAATTAAACTGAGTTGATACGTTTTTGTTTGCCATACTACCATTTAATACTTTGTATTTGTAATTGTAATCGCTAAACACAAAGCTAATACTAGTCTTAATCGTAAATAATAAGAGAGAGGCAAAGTAAGCTTTTATAATTCCAGTTTGTTAGCCTTTGTTTCAAAATCGAAACGACTTTTCAACCGGTGTGACGTCATTTTTGAGTTTTTTCCGAAAATAGAGACTATTGCATTGGATCATGTTTGAAAGAAAAGGTTATGAAACTTGAACAGATTGACACTATACCGGCTCTCTTTAGATTGATTAAGCTCAAACTCGGTAGTTCAAATTTTTTATTGGCGGATTAAAATGATAACATTTTGGATAAACTTCACCATGTTATTGCGGGAAGATGGTGTTTTCTTAGCTTTGTTCATTCTAACAAAATCTCAAATAATAGAGGGATGCAATTCTGTGGACGAATGAAATAAGCATCAATGGTGTCCTTTTTGGGGGTTTCAACTTTTAACTCCGTCCCAAACCAATTTAATATTAAAATGTCATGTTACACAGGAAATACCGGGTTT